GCATGGCCCCATGGTTGAATGGGTGGTCTTTTAAAACCCTCGTTCCTAAAAATTACTTATCATACTTATCAGCCCTCAGACTGCTATGGATAGAGGAGTCATTATCTGAATGCATATCCAGCTAATTGAAAGCTGTCTATTTTAATGATCACATTTACAATAGAGGGGTGGGGGGGCTATTTTAGTGTGTGTGTGTGTGTATAAGAGAGAGAGAGAGAGAGAAAGACAGAGAGAGAAGTAGCAATCGTAGCTCTTTCTGTTTAGATCAAAGGGAGCTTAAGTGACAGGGCGAAAGTTGAGAGATTGCCTTTTCGCCACTGTGGCAACAAATCCTCTCATCTGCTTGACAGACACGCTGCCAGCAGCCAGAACGGATGCACTTACAGTAGAGAAGGAGGAGATTCTCCAATGTGAAGACCCATGGATGGACAGGTTTACCATGTACAGATGTAGTTTCTCTCATGTGGTAACACTACATTTCAGTCAGAGAGCTAAGCATCCAGTTCTCCCCAAAATTAATTACCCAACAATCTTAGTCGTTTAAAAAAACTGTTTCAGGTATTATGTTGTTCCTCTTTATTACGATCCAAAAAATGATGTTGGCCAGAAATAACACCTTGTTGAATTTGTACAACGTGATTCAAAATTAAAGATTTTATTCATCAGCTATATTCACATCTGGTTAAAAATCACACTTGTTGTGCAGCAGATGGAATATTTCTTTGATTTTTTTTTTGTGTAGCTCAGATATTTTGCAGGAAATCTGATGCACGGATCTGTGACTCCAATGTAATGTTAATACAACCGTGCATACATACAATAGTATGAGCAAAAAAGCCGCATTGTGAGAGTCAACAGAGACAATGTGTTACTAGTTTGTAACCGTTTATTTAATTAGTTCACGTTTGCTGCTTTTAGGAGACTGACAATCAATAGTGGCTTTAACAACACTGCCCTTGTTCATGAGTTGGCAGGGTATTAAGACATGCCCATTTTATATTTCTTGGCTACTGTGAGATTTTCCTGACAGTCTTAGGAGTGGTTCTCTACATCCTTAGCCAAAATGAAGCAACAGCCTTTAAAGTAGGAATCTGCCAATTGGGAAATCCTGGGCCGATACAGATATTTCAAATTTAGCCGATGCAGATAACTATGGATTTTTGTTGTTATATAATTCACACTTCTGTGCCAGGGAAACAATGACCTCTACAAAGATAAATGTCTCTGCCTTGTTGCAGCTCATTCTGTTTCTCTTCTCATCTGAGATGGGACGCAGAGCTGAACAGCCGCTCACTGTCCGCACTGCTGCATGGAGCATGTTGGTGTTTGTGTGCAATTTGTGCCATTGCTTCCAATATCCAAGTTAATAACCAACAACAACATCTAGACTCTGCAAAACTGATGAGACACAACAGATGAAAAATCAGCCACTAATATTGGTGAATGCCGTCTTATTTGCCAACAGTCAGTCAGCAACACGAATATCGGCCAATATCGGTGTTGATGATGAACTTTTCAGACGTCAGTTTAACCCACTCTGTTTTAATGACACTGCTGAAACTATTTTCACTTTCATGCAACACTGTAAAACCAGATAAGTTAATTTAACTCAAAACTTTGCTGAAACTGATCACATCAAAATAGATTTTTTAGGTTAAAAAATATTTTTGATTAAGCCGTTTTTACTAATAATTTGAAGTGACACTAATGACACTTATTTTTGTAAGTTACAGAAACATTCTTGATTAAGTTGTTTTTACTAGCTTGTTTTGTTTTCACAGTATAAATTAAAAGGACAAAATAAATAAAGACTTTAAATTACTAAAGCTACAATGAAACAATAATGTTTTTTGAACTTACATAATGTAGTTAGTTTTACCTAAAAATGTTAATGTTATCACTTTCAACAATTAGTTTTGTTAAATGAATTTATCTGGTGAATAATATATTGAAAGAGGAATGACTCTGATTATGTATTCTTGTTTCAACATATCGTAATTTTCATTGATCAGCTTCACTCTTAACCTTAACACCGATGTTGGTTTATCCTATGCATTATTATTTTTGCACATTATCAAGACTGAGTGTATTATGGTTTTAGTTACGTTGACCAGAATAAGCAGCAGAAGACTTACAACATGTATGAATCATCGTATAAGCTCTTTTAGTGTTTTTAGGCAGGTGCCCATATCAAGACGGAAAAAGGTTTTGTTCACGAGCCAGAAGAAAAGGGTGCAACAAGATGATGAGTGATGGAAACATGGCATTTATGTTCATTTCAGGTTTCAGTATGGGGAAAATTACATTCTCCTCATCCTGCTCAGGATTTATTCATTCAATTATTTTATATATAGTCTTATTTTATTTTTACCAGTACATAAAAACAGATGCATGGAAACCCACCTTATAACATTCAATCCACTTGCTGAAGCCTCATATTAAATAAACATTTAAAACACATTAGGAGGAGATCTTTTAATTACCAGAAGAAGCATGACGAACGATACAGAAAAACCTGTTTCAGTGTTTTATTTGTTTAAGATACATTTTTGGCCTTTATTTTGATAGGTGGAGCTAAAGAGTAACACAAAGGCCAGGAGAGAGAGAGAGAGAGAGAGAGAGAGAGAGAGAGATTGACATGCTACAAAGGCCAATGGATTGAAATTCAACTCGTGCCGTTGTGGCAACTCAGGCTTTGTACATGAGGCGCCCGCTCTACCAAGTGAGCTACTGGGGTCCCCCATAGTTTTAAAACAAATAAAATATTGTATTTTGGTACTATAATGGTGCTATTTATGTGACAACTACTACTCGCTTTTTTACAAAAACATACAAAACATGTAATAATCTTTTTAATGTTAATGTATATAGTATTGTATAGTACATAAAGTATGAATGTAAACTGCTATAATGTCTTAATTTCACCCCCGGAGATCAATATAGTACCTATCTATCTATCTATTAGCCCCACCTCCACCAGCTGCAGCAATAATATAAAAATGTAATACTGACAGGAGCCATTCTGCTGGCTAATATGTATTTTCACCTTACATAAGCTCCTTTTGCTGATTATACTCTTTCATTCATAACATTTTGAATGCGGCATCTTTACTTGAAATTTAGTATTTTTAAATTGTTGTGTTGCTATACTTTCACTTACATAACACACAACATACATAACTCAAAAAAACTCAATAAATGTTTGGATCTGCTAAATAATATTATTAAATAAACTAATTTAAGAAAACTTTGCTCAGTTTTGATCTTCAAAAGAGAGCGCTTCTCTCAGTAAAACCCTGCTGAATAAAGGTGATCTGCAGTAACATTTTCCCAATGGGAAAATAATGTGGTTGTTTCTGATGTAACATAGCCAGCAGTAAAAATGAGCGGCAAGACTAGGAAGACAGCCAACAAATAAATGTAACAAGTGAAAGCCAACAAGTTGTAGATAAGACAGCTTAGTGTAGCGTTTGTTTACAATATTTGATCCTATCTTTGTCGTTTGAATGAATTTACAAAATTTCAGGGTTTGGCTGATAGGGTTTGGAGGTGAAATACTTTTCTGGTCACAGTACAGTGACAGCGGCGTCATGAATGCCACCTGTCCGCTGACCAGCTGCATACAATTCTGAGGTATTTGTACTTTACTTGATTATTTCCATTTTGTGCTACTTTCAACTTATAACATTTCATAGAGAAATATTGTATTTTTTACACCACTACATTTATTTGACAGCTTTATTCTGCAAAATGATTTTGTGAACGATATTACATAAAAATCAGCCGTATGATCAGCTTATAAAATACAATTTGTTAATGATTAAACCAGTGGTTGTTCTACTTGTTGTTGTCCCATTGTTACATCTCAAATGTCTAGGAGTTGTTGATGGGACTTTTCCCCGTGTTACTTTTCAGACTTTAACTGTATGAATCCCAAATAGATCAAATTGTCCCAATATTTCACAAAATGTCAAAGATTAGAGAAAAGTCCAAAATATGAATATGAATTTTAAGTATGAGAATCACAGCTGTGGTTCCGTAAGTCCTCCTTATTTTCAGATATTGATATCAGATATTATGTATGCT